TCTGAAAGAGATTGAAAATCCTCCAGTTGCGTTTAGAAAGCAGCCACCTCTGACTGTATGTCCAGACAATGGGCGAGTGGTGAGATCTTAGGAGCGACGACCAGCGAGTGACCTTGACCACCTTCTGGGAACAGAGGAGCTGCATCTCACCACCACAGAACAGAACACATGGGAGATGATGCTGTTGACACGTGAACACATACAGTATCAGTAGCTAGGGCCCATCCCTATCGGTAGAAACTCCGGTAGAAACTAAAAAACGTCTAAGTACGGATCTGTGGTTTCCCCGTGTAGCAAAGAGAATGCTTATACACTTACTTTTGAAAACGTTTATAGTTGTACTGCTAATTTTGAAAGATTTGAGAAGACGACTTTGTTGAATAAAGACTATATGGAAGAAAAGAGCGACTCTCAGCCTCAGCTTCTACATAGAGGTTAAAGCTTATAATCAATTACGAGCTTACACGTACGACGAAATGATAGCCACAACGCAAAGAACATACTGTATTGACGTTAGTAGTCGTTGAGATAGAACCTGATAGAATGACAAATTCTAGATAAAAATTACAAACCACGAATTTTCTTTTAATAATTTAATGCATTAGTTACTCAAGTAACTAATAAATAACTGGGAATGTGGTTAATTAGCAGTTCATGTTTATATAGGTTGTATCACAGTCAAGGGGATAAGCCTAGCACGAAACGAACCCCATGCGATTATTAAATTTTAAATATCGTCTATTTAATCTTGTAAAATCTAACTGACGATTCTCAGGATCGTCATTTCAACGATGAAAATAACAAGGGTTGTATTTATGGTTGACATTACTTCATAGCCTAGGCCTATAAGATAACCGGGTGAATTTACAATGTTATAAAATAATCATCTAAACATGTAGCGGTTATTTAATCCTTGGTAGGAATGAGACAATAAAGAGAGAAGTGCAGAGTCCATATACGCAAACAAGTCCCGAGGGGCAAAATCAACCGACACCACAGTCCACTACATGATGGGAGATGCAGTAATGTTATAATGAAACACATAACACTAAGTCGGTGTCATTGTAACACCACAATACACCATACACAATACACCACGCCACGTGTATTGTCGGATATCAACCGCGGTGTGTCCGAGGATTAACAGACGATAGTCCGCTGGATTTGTCACTTTATTGTTTAATCCCACTTTATTTGAATAGTCACTTTGGGAGATATTTTTTATACTTGGCAATGTGTATTTTAAATGTGACTTTTAGCTACCTAAAAACATTAAACATCGGGAAAATATAAAGTAAATAACGTCTTCAAATTGAAAACAAAAATTAACTGAAGCAAATTGTAGTTGCAATCGTTGAGTATTTTTTTTTAACTATACCGACGCCATCGATTTTCTTAAATGATCCTGAAACTCGACTGAGGAAAATTATCTAGAGGAATTATTTACAAGCTCAAAGCAAAGATAGGGTAGTTGTGAATGATACATTGGGAGGCCGGCGTGCATTTACCCACATAAGAACTATTGACTTGGTCTCTGAAGTCAATACAGACATCACCTCACTCATCTCACCTACACACATCAACAAACGCGAATGCAATGCATGATTTGTCGTTTGCTTTAACCTTTAGCTGAGCAAGTCTACAAGCTAAGCTGGATATCAGCAAAAATTTACAAAGGTGACTACAGTATTTGATACTTTGGCAAATCTTTGATTATTCTTACCGTGAACCCGCAGCAGATAAAAAAATCCTTGGAAGCATGATACATGGACGAATGTCAGGGTTGGTACAGTGTTAAGGAATGAAGAATTATAATAGACTGATGTACCTTCTAAATAGAAACTAGGTTAATAGTTTTCAAAGTGTCGTTACATTAGCATTATGTAGAGTTTAACTCATAGATAAAACAGTAACAACAGCTAAATACACTATACAGTAATGAAAACTTCCTACGTTTTATATTGCAAGATAAATTAATACAAATAATTTATACTACTGAAAGAGAGTACAGTATAAATACTGGTGGTTGTTGTAGGCTTAAGCAATTATTTGAAGATTCCCAAGGCAGGTCCAGAAGACAAAGCGTACACCACGAATAGCCTTTCAAATGCCAGATTGATCACAAAAGCCAAGACGTTCTATCAATCAACAGGCGATCTGCATATGAAAGGGAGGGAGCGCTGTGAATCAGTGTCTGGCAGCGCTGGCTGCATTGTGAACCAGTCCACCTGTGCCTGTTAGTGCTAGCGCTAGCCGGTAAACGTTCCATCAAAGGATAAGTGAATGCATTTGTATCTGTTTGGCGGTATTTGTTAGATTGCATTCGTTTAGCTCTTAACACTAACTAAATCGTCAAACACTGTAACTGTATTCACCTTTAAGTGAACGAAAAAACGAAAAAGCTAAAAGGTGGTATAGAATAGTGTTTTACAATGGTTACAATGGTACAAGTGTTTGGATTTTCATTTTTGTCGACCTCTGGTCTATAATTTCCTGAATCCCTAACCTCAATCTTATACTGCTTAGACAAATGTAATTATATCTTCCTACCACGTATGATAAAAATAACGATACATTTGAGTAACAATAGATTGTTGAGACATCCACTAGCAAAGATATTAAAAACAGGTAGCGGCTAAACAGTGAAAGCAGTCGCTAACCGGCGTCGCGGAGAGAGTGTAAAAAATGCTATCGGGTTTTGCGTGACGGACAAATTTCACGGCTACTTCGTAACACTTTGTCGTTAAACACCTGGCCAGAAGCTGAGTTACAGCTGATCTGCAGAAATTGGCAGTCGGACGCTAAGGCAAGCAGATGATTTACAGGGTTCAGATCAGCCTAGCTTTGATACTGAAAATGGATACTGACTTGCTAGCGTAAAAGTCTCTGTGTGGTTTAAGCTGTCCATCCAGAAAACGTGGACTGTCACCAGGAAATTACAAACAAAGAGAGTTGAGATGAAGTGTGAGGGATTCAAACATCAGTTGAAGGTAACAAATGAAATTAAGAATAACAAATTAATAATTCAGAAAGGGAATGTGCAGTAGATAATATTTCACACCAAAACGTAGTCTAGTTGAACACCTGGTCGGAAGCAGAGTTGGCAGCTGATCGTTTAGTCAGCTGATGTACAGCAACCAGATGGTTTATTTACTATTAATTGGCCGGCAAGACCGACGTAATGGCCCCTCATCTAGTCTTTAGTGTAGCGATTTCTCAGACTGGGAATAAACATCGCATTTGTTGTTCACCTGTGCAATCACTAGTTTGTAGGTGTAATCGTTCTTATGTATATTAATTGATCCTTGCATTAATCCTCCGTAATGAAGGCGTCGTATTAGAGAAGGTAGAATGTCATGTAATTATCAATGGATTTTTAACAAGGTAAACTGAATATATAAAGACACACAATGATATTATAAAGACGAATTTTATAAAGATTATATTATAAAGACGTGACGAATTTTGCAAAATTTCCCTTCTAAAAAAACAAGTACATTTTATAAGAGTTTCGTCGGTATGTTATCATATTCGTTCCGACGAAGTTGTTAACTGAATCCTTTAAAAATTATTTAAACATTGAAAAAATTCGTTGTTCAATCAATTCGAATCGTAAACACAAACTCGATGATCGATTTTCAAACACGCTCTGAAATGTAAACGAGAATGAGATTGTTTCCGGTTTCCAGAATCGTCCGGCAATCACTGCACTTTATAACTGACTGTGATCTGGTTAACTCCAACTGATTGCAAGACTTGACTCTTGAACATTCAATAATCAGTTAATACCAAAATTAAACTGTGATCCATATTACAACTCAATGATTTAACTTGTTTGCAACAGCTCAACGCAGCGTGGCCGAGGTCCTCCAGGGCGATGGTAATGGAACTGCCAATCACGTGGGTTTTTGCATCGCCTGGGCCAATCAGCGAGCGGCTTGCAGCCCAATTAGGCTTTGTTCTCGTGGACTAATGGTAATGCTTGTCAGACACTGACCACCCGTGAGGCTGTCTTACGTTGGATGAATCATAAAATATTTCTACATTCTGCAGTGACGTGTGAACATTATCAAATACTGAATTATGTGTACTAGGACATACTAGACCCAACAGAATTTGTAGTTCAAACTGTTGGCGTAAATTCACTGTAACTGACACAAAAGTAAGAGGTATTGTCTCAATAAGTTAAATGTGGAACGAATAAAAATATATCTTAGGTCAACCCTTAAAATTTGAAATGTAAACATGTAAACCCGCACTAAATGAAACCTCACGTTAAGGTAAATTTTAAAAGAAGTATAACAGAGAAGACACCATAACCCAGCACAAAATACCCTCTTCAATTCAAATCAAATCAATTAAATCAATTTAAGATGGGGCCGCCCTGTGTGCTTATTTCAGCCCAAATATGAGTGCAGGATGAGTGACAATGCAAATCACGAACATTGTACAGGCTACGATAGATGCACTCTTGAAACTTTTTAGGGGTATTTCTGGTGAACTCAAACCAAGTGTACAATGAAAGGACAAAAATTCTCTTTTATCGAATCTTAGTCCGTAGGATATGGCCGCGACGTTGAACTGGTGAAAATACTGGCCAAACTTTTCGCTCCATCCTTCGTTCAAGCTACAATTCAGTGGAATAGTTGCTGCAACGCATGCAAACCGTTGTCCAGTAATGTCACCAGCCCACACGCTCCACCTTGTGTCGTTGCACACAATACACATGTGCGCTGTGCTCAGAGTTGTTCAATCACACATTTATCTGCGCACAATGTGAGCGTGTGGAAAGATCTCAAAGACCAAGATTCGGCAGTAAACTTCACAGTGGAAGCCACTATACTTGAAAGTTGAAGCCGAGTAAACATATTAATAGAAATCTCTTTTGTTGTCAGCTACACATTTTCCAACCACCCCCAAAGTTGGAGAGTTTCAGGCCCAAATACACTTTTTCAAATTCAAACCCCCATAGACAGTTGACAACCAGAGGCTAGACATACCAGTCGGGTCTCGATGTCGATGTCCAGGCAGTCGGCAGGTCGTTTCTTGCGGTGTTGGCCCAGGACGGGAGTGACGCTGAAGTACTTGGAGCAGCGCGCGCCGTCGCGACGGTAACGGTCCAGAGCTCGCATCACGGTGACGGGGGTCGGCGCTGCGGCGTCGTACAGGCGTCGGACCGGCGACGGCCGTGTGTCGGCCGTGAACAGGCTCCTGGCTAGAGGCTGGACTGCGCCCCAGTGGTCCGTCCTCGCAGAGAACTCCGACAAGTCACTCTCAGCTGCAACATAACAGAGAGAGATGTCAGACTATTATAACTCTATACAGGGTTAGTTGGCATGGATATCCTATGTACTAGAGAAGTCCTCGTGTGTGTCTATATTATCTTCTAATGGGTGTCTAGTCTTTAGTAAACACGTATGGGAAGGGAAATAGTAAAAGTACCTGCTAGCACAAGAAGGAAAATGCAGCATTGAGAGAAATATTGCTTTATTGAGCAAGACATGTGGAATTTGGCGCAGAAATATAACATCAGAAATATTGGTGTGCATATTGAAACGACTGTATTAATAAGTCTAAGTATAATATATGAACTGTATCATTTATGTTCATATATAACATGTTTTTAATTCAAATGAGTGCCGTATAGTACACACAATAATTCGATATCGAATATCTTAATCAGGTGTGGGTTGGCATGATTTCCCGTACTCCATCATGTATAGGTAACATAATTCGACCACTAAGCAAGGAAACAATATAAACAAATGAGTAGCCTATCACATTGACGTGGCACAAGCACTCGACACATAACGGTAGGCTTTGTCCAGTTACGTGTGTGAGGCGTGGGCAATGCAAGGACAGCGTGAGTGGGCGACGTGCCGCATTGTCTATTGTCACTCAACACTGAAGAGTCCTCAAAACTGTCATGAATAATATTCACATCAAGGTATCTCAAGTTTTGTTTAATTTTCATTCTTACTTTCTACCCATATACGTTGTATATGGGGTGGCCCACCTTTCGCCCCCCCCCCCTGTACCCAAACAAGTGGTTTTCGAACTTATGTATGTGTGTACGGTACTATTCCATGGTAAATCCAGACTTTTTTTATATTCAATGTAAATTTTCCTATAACATTTAAAAATAAGTTAGTATATATAGGATTTTATAAAAAAACGGCTCAAGCGATGATCGTTAAAATGCATTATGTTATGGTACTTTCAACTGTAAACCAAATGGTATAACCCCCCCCCCCCCCGGCTGTAAAAATTACAGCTCAAAAACTATTGCACTTTTTTGTGATTTTACCCATAACATGCCATAGTTACTCCCACCGCTAACCCATTGTGAGGGTTGTTTACAAGCTAACGGGAGAAGGTTGTACGTGTTAGTTTGCTGGTAACGTCTGTTTAACAATAACATGAACGTTATATGTTTTCCAACACTATAATAGTAATTTGTGTATGGAAACTGTCCAAACTTTGGTTTCGTTACTATCTAACATCGACCTTTTATTATTTTGTTGATAACACAACAACAAACGTCATCTAGGTCCTTCGGATTTGTAGGTTTGAACGAATCGATTTGTTTTACCACCAGGATGGATGATTCGTGCAAATTAACGTCCTATCCTTCAGTCCCCATTGGTTTGACCTGACCTCCAAAACAGAAATATGCTGTGGTTTGAGACAATGGCCTCCCGGTTTACTTTGCAATGCTCGCGAGTCAAGATAATTGCCACTTCTCCGCGTAGTCTGACCGCTCATTAACTCGTCCGTCGGTCGTGTAGAGGTCGAGCGACGAGAGTTACGTTACGTTACATCACATGACGTCACGCACACAGCACGCGTCACACTTGACCGTAACATACTCGTCCGTCGGTCGTGTAGAGGCCGAGCGTTACGAGAGTTACGTTACGTTACATCGCATGACGTCACGCACACAGCACGCGTCACACTTGACCGTACCGTAACATACTCGTCACTCTGTCGATGGTAATTCGACATTGCTAAACCTCTCGAGCGGTATGGCTTTGATTTGACACAATAATTCAAATGTGTCCTCCATACGGACATGCCGACTGTACAGTAATTATTTAATTGAGAGGATGCGGAAACGTGCGAAACAATGGGAACGGAAGTGATGCTTCCACAGGAAGAGAAGTCCCGTACCTGCACAACTAACTCACATTGGTGATAATGTACAATGTACCATGGCACCGTGTATGCGTGTTTTCCCATGTACCAATAGATCACCATAAAATACAAATATTGTAAACATATGTAGAAAGCTTTTATAGAGAAATTAGAGTATTTACCTATTATTCTATTACTTGTGGAAAATAGTTAAACATTGTTAAAACAAAATAGTAAAATAATGAATGATAACTGACAGTTATACTGTTATACTGTTCTATGAAATGGCGACCATACATAGTAGGTATTTTAAGCCAAGTATGAATGGGGATGAGTGTAGGATGAGTGACGCGATCTTGTAGTCTTGTTAGTGACTAAGGCCGACATTCCTTAGACACAGCTGTTAATTATGAACATCAAACCCATTGTAAAGAACGCGACAGTGCCGTAAACTGCGTGTGTTTTGTGGTACAACCATTTAGAATGCGTGTTATAGTTTATTGACTATAATGCACTAGCCACAAGCGTAAAAATATACATATATATAGATATAGATAGATATTAGGGTTATTAAAGTGTAGAAATAGGTAATAAAATTAGGGTTTACGAGGTGAAAGTCAGAGATACCAATTACTGTACTACATTCATACATACTGACTAGCACTTGTTTAGCGCTCTTTCTTATTACTACATACACAGTATTAATTACCAGGAGAGATAAGAATATCATGGCCTTGGGTCCACAGTCTAAGGGCAGTCAACCCTTGTAGATTTGAGAGGTAGATTTTTTAAATTGTTTTAAGCGACAGTGTTCGGAAGACTTTTCATGACTTCGGATACCAATTCACGAAAGCGGCTTTTCGCTTTCTTGTTAAATAATGTTTAAATCGGTTACAACTAGTGTACAACTTGAAACCACGTGTGAATGACATAATCATTACACGTTCTCAAACCATTCGTTATAAATAAATAAACCGCTACGGTAAGCTACTTAGTACTTATAAGGTTGGTAGTGTAATGCTTAGCTAACTAGCTGAGGATTTGACACTTCAGATCGTCTGCGATGCGGTTTATAATTAGCTTCCACACAACGGATGATTGTGCTAAACCCCTCCGTCCCACCATTGCCACCAATCCGATTGTTTCTTGACGCCCATTGTAAGGCCCGAGCCTGAAACGATTGAATAGTTTTAATTGGAGCAATTACAATGATCTTTATTGTTCCGACTTGAAACAATAGTGTATCAATTTAGATTCATTTTTACCAAACGATATTATAAATTAGTTAACACTTTTTAAGTGTTAAAATTATTTAAATTTAGAGTAGTCTAGTATTTTGCCATCAAAATCTTTGTTTGGTAATGTGTACAAGTGTGCAACAGAACAAATTGTTGATAGTTAAAACACGTTTGATTATGACAAGTATTGAAGCTGTGAATACGAATCACATACGAATCCACTGATTTGTAAATACTAAGTGAATCATAATGATTTGGGAAAACATACCTGGCTTCAGGTACCACAAAAGTAATGTCATAAATTTAAGTAACCCAATCCAGCTAGTTGGAAAGTTTATCACGAATAAACTGAAAGTGTCAACGTTAAAAAGTCAACATTGTGATACCGAATGATGTAAGGTTTCGCTACATGTCTTGGGTTTCAATCTAAACGTGTAACTTAAAAAGTGAAAATAAAATAATTTGATACCTTACCAAATTGATGTGATGCAGCTTTTGAATAGAATTATGTATAATAATTTACATAACTATTCTTTTGCGCAAGTTTAAGTATTTCTCGTAACAAGGAAAGATAGCATAACTAAGTTATTCTACATCCTGGGAGGGAAGGAAATCAGTTACTCTTACTTTCAACTAATTTACGAGTGGTTTCTAAAGACTGAGGGCGGAGGACAGGCAAGTTTGGGCACTATGAGCACTATGGGCACTTATCTCACTCCCTGATATACTGTTATGACCCACGCCCGGGGATGGGCATCATAACTGCACTACAGATTGATGGCTCAATAAATCAACGAATCCTGCGCCACTTCCGGACACTGACACACTAATTGATAATATCTGATTTGTCCACAGGGGTTTGTTGTGTGTCGCCGGTCACCGCGAGACCGTAGCATAGATCTTGGTCTAATTAGAACATGAATCGAGATTCAATGTATCTGTCTCAGGGAAGTGTCAAGATGAATATAAAATAAATCTTTCAACTTCAAACTGTGGTTTGTTTCTCTGTCACTAATTTATATTGTCTTCTCAAATTCAAATGCGAGTTAAATATATTGCCATCTTATCGCATTGCTATTAAACTGCACAATTTATATGAGTATCAGCCAAAGTTATATCTAAACTATATATACTTCTAAGTCTACTGTTCAATAAAACGTTATAACTATGTACACTCTACAGTACATAATACAGAGATATTATCTCCAAGGTTTTCCAAGCAATATCTGTATTCTAGTCCATCTCTTGATGGCTATGAGATAAACTGCGAAATATACTGCAGAATACAGTATTTACAAATATTAATATTTAAGTACATCTAGTGGTTTACACTATTTTACTGTATTACAGTATCTCATAGACATAGAACGACGTCACCTCTAACTTTCCGTGTAAAGTACGGAGAGTACTTGGCAAACGGTCGTCATTGCACAGTAACATTAGACCAACGAGATAATTTGTATCGTTCCCTTATACACAAAAACGTCAACAAGAGCTTTCAAGAGGGCATACAAAATAGAATAATCATTACTCTGAAATGCATCATCGAGAAGAATATTATTTTGAATATCCGCCGACACTCGACGTGGAATCCTTATCTTTGGCACCCTGTGTAGTGTGAAGTACCCAAGTGTAAAGTTAGATGGCGCAGACTGCAGCTTGTGTCGCAGAGGTATTGGTATAACCTTGTTTATGTCAGTAGTAAAGCTACGGTGGCGACCCCATCCAAAGATCGAATGTTGTTTTCCCGTACACGTATACTATTTTTTAACTTCTATATTATGTAGTTCTATTATGTAGTTCTATGTAGTTATGTTCTCACATAGCCATTCAAAAAATGTGTCTGAACTGAATACTAAATTTTGTACCAAATGCTCTGACATATTAGTAATGGAAATATCATACG